CCTCCTTCTGTGCCAAATCATCCCATCTTTAGTGGTCTTGGCAGAAACTACCTGAAAGGATCCTTCCCTGAAAGCTTCTCTAAGCTTACCAGCCTTACCACCCTGTGAGCTCTCTTGCAGCTAAACAAAAACCACAAGTCATCAAGCCAGCCAGGCCACTTTACCTTTCAGGATTTTTAGCCTTTTCATGTGTAAATCAGCCTAGGGATGAGCAAGGGACGAACATGAACATGTTCGTGTTCGCCCCTACACGAACACATCCGTTTGCCGAACCGAACACTGTTCAGTTCGGCGAACACTTTAAGCAAAAACACGTGTTCGCCGTTCGCCTGTGAAGGCGTGTTCGGGCGAACCTCGAACACGTTCGTGTTCGTCGCGGGGCAAATTGCAGCAGCAGCCCGAACACGAACGTGTTTGGGCGAACCTCGAACACTGTTCGGCGAACAATTTAAGCAAAAAAAACAAACCTGTTCGAGGCGAACCGAACAGGTGTTCGCCCTTGTGCTCATGTCTAAATCAGCCAGAGCGATGCCCCTAGGAGCACACGAGGCAAGTACGTGGGCCAGTGCCATATCAAGCCATGCAGGTAGTACTACTAGCCTGTGTGCAATTTAATTGTGAAAGCTTCAATGTGGTATCACCACTCTTAATCGCTTTGTCCCACGGCGTGGCACCTGCAGGGATCTGAGCAACAACTCCCTCTCTGGCTCCCTTCCTCCCTCACCATCTTGTCAGTCCCCGTGTTTCACCCTTCCTGCTCCTTTGATCTTCCTCTTTCTGAACACCTCTGGTTTGAGGGCAATTGCATGTGCTTACGTTTCAATAAATGTCACCACACATTTCTGCTGCTGCTGCCGCTGCTGCCGCTGCTACTTTCCCATGGCACGACACGGCCCGTTATAAACAATAATTCAGTGCTTGATATGGAATGGTGTGTGTGCGGCATGTTATGCATGCTGCAGTATGATGCATGCATGGCTGTGAATGGTCACATGGCAGGTATTTGCACAACAACTACTTTGAAGGGTCGCTCCCCAACCTCCCATATAACGTATCAATAGTGTACGGGCCTCAGAACATGCTTGCCGCACCATTGTTTCTCTGTGCGATCACAGCATTCTTACTGCTCTATTCGGTTTGCTCGTCTCCAGACCACATTCGCTCCAGTTCATGCTATTTATCTTGTGTTTATGGAGTACGTTGGGCATAATATGCATGTTGTATACGTATAGCACCCAAAGCCCTATTCCTAACACTGTCTGTTATTGTCTGTGCGCTGCTGGCGTTTACAGCGATCTCAGCAGAAACAGTTTCACGGGAGGCTTCCCACAGAACACAGCACAGTTCAGCAGTCTTGCCTCATTGTAAGGACACTTCCAAACAAGCACTCTAACAGAAACACTCTTATACACGAACTCCACAGGTTAGCCCGTCATCATGTGCATCTATCTGAATGACCTCCATTCATCCCTCTCTTGTCTCCAGGAACATTAGCAGCAACAGGCTATCTGGCACGCTGCCTGCGGAGCTAAGCCGTCTAGTGGCCCTTACATCCCTGTACGTGCCACTGCAGTCCCAAGCAACATGAAAGTAAAACTTTTTTGAGACGTCTCAAAAACATATTTTCTGCATGCATGTATCCGCACAAGCTCTATCTTGCCCTTAAGGCTTCTCCCACCTTGTTTTGCACCTCTTTCTACACCTCCCATCCCTCCGCTAAGCAGCAACACGAGTGGAAACCAGTTCTCAGGCGCCCTTCCATTCAAGCCCTCAAGCGCCTTCACTTCCTGTGAGACCACTGGTTTCCCGCATTCACAAGACCACTCCATCCACGTGGCGTCATATGTCTGGCTGGCCGTTGCTTGCACACGTGGCTTTCAGATCCCACAAGCACCTCTGGAATCCTGTGTTCTCCATCCTTGGATTCCTGACGTCAAACAGCGTCGACCTTGCTACCTCCATATTTCTGTGGTCCTCCCCCATATCTGGATCTCCACGTGGCATGTTGTCATTGGCAGGGATCTGAGTGGCAACTCTCTCAGTGGAAGCATTCCAGACTTCCTGAGTGCGCTAGTGCTGATGCAGAGGCTGTGAGTGCACAATTTATCATAGGCTCATAGGGGGATAACCCAGAGAGGTTGAAAATGCCACAGGTTCTGTCGTGGGGGATTGGGCGTGCTTTTGACCCACCAATTTAACAGTCTCTGCAACCAAGCCGGTTCGTGGACTGGTGTATCCAACACGAGCCTTTTTTCTCCATAGGTTGTGAGCATGTGATATACGCATCAGGAGATTTTTTAGGGGCACCTCAAAAATCGTTTTCAGGAGGCGTGTGAGTGAGTCAATGCTCACTGCCACCACCACCATTCCATACGGCTACCACTTTCAACGTCTTAAAGCCAAGGAACGTAGTCACCTCACCATCACCATCACCCCCACCGTACGGCTACCACATTCAAGACGTCTTAAAGCCAATCACCGCCCCCACCATACTGCTACCGCTCGTCATTCCCATTCACCACAACCACACCACATGCCACCACTGCTGCCACTCTTCTTGCCATTTGCTGCTCACCCTGCTGACATGCCCTCTTCCTTCTACCTTTGTACTGTTGCGTACACAGCAATCTCAGCACCAACTCGCTCTCTGACACTGTCTCTGCATCCCTGGGAGCTCTGGCACAGTTGACCTGCCTGTAAGGGTCACTTACTAGCAAAGCTAAATACTTTGTGGCCTTAACATGCGGAGAACATAGAACCATGGAAGGAAAGGTTTTCAGCAAATGGGATGTATGCAACAGCTGGTAGCTTTTGGCAGTCCATTCATTGGATGTTGTGAAAGTATAAACTTCACATCTTAAACTCGTTTCCAACTGGTGCATCAACCTGCTAGGAAAAAAACTGCGCTGGAGTAATTCCCAGTGGTGACAAGTAAGCAGGGCCCGGGTCAGCAGAGACTTAAGCCTCCAGAGCACATTGCAGAAAAGATGTGATCGTGATGCACAATATAATAAAACATCAACTTTTCGCGTCAACAGGTTTGAGCCAAACTTCACTGTTCAAGATAGAAGTTGTACATTATGGATCCACGTCATTCCTCTTAGTCAAGTTCCAGCCATTCACATGCCTCTTAATCTCCTTTGCTTACTGCACCTTTCCTTCCCTGCCCCACCATCCCTCTCCTCCTCACCCCCGCTCACCATTCCTGTCTCGTCTCTCCGCTCCTTGTCACAGTGATGTCAGCAGCAACCAGCTCTCCGGGTCCATCCCATCTGCCTTTGGCAGTCTTACCATACTCGTGCACATGTGAGTTCTCAGCATGCGGGTGCTGCATGCTCGCGCACATGTGAGTTTTCAACATGCTGGTGTTGCATGCTCGCGCACGTGTGAGGTCAATGTGTGGTGTGATTTGTGGTAGGTGATGCACGTTCATGCACAGGCAGGTGGTCATTTGCAACAACGTGTGACAAAACATATCCTTTCTATAAAGTCCACTCTTAGTCTATTCACACACCCATATCATAGCCATGTAGCCTTCTTTTCCAACAACACGTATGCCAAAACCCCTCCCTGTTCCTTGCAGGGACATGAGTCGCAACGGCATCTCAGAATCTATCCCCGCTAGCATCGGCCGTCTCACAGCCCTCACCTCCCTGTACGTTCAGACTGGTTTATCCGAATGAACGTCATCCAGATAGAATCATCCAGATAGCATCATCCAGATAGGATCATTCAGATAGGATTATCCAGATAGCATCATCCACATAGGATCATTCAGATAGAATCATCCACAGAGGATCATCCAGATCACCCCTGTTTCCAGCGTCTCCCTATATGTTGGTATCACAGCCTTTCGATCAGCTGGCTCACAGCCCTCACGTCACTGTACACCCACATGGGATTCTTCTTGCCTCCCTCCTTCTGAGTCGACTCAAAATTCACCTTGTCACCTCCCTTCTTTAGGAACGTGCCTTGATAGCAAGCATTCCAGCCCCTTCTTCAGGCCCCTGTGCATTCGTTCTTTCATTGAGAGCACTTTGAGTACATCAGTAGAGTCCCATCACTCCTCCTTGTAGCTGTGCATTGGCTTGTGACGTTATATTCTCTGCTACGTGCTCCTTGATATAGCATCTTAGCAAGGTCTAGCATTCAACTAAAGAACATTTTAACCTTCTTGACCATCACAGGCTGCTGCATCACCCTTGCCATGCTTGTTTTGCTTCTCTCCCAACACAACCAATGCACTCTCACACCTCACACCACCCGTGCAGGAATCTGAGCCACTCAAGCCTCACGGGGCCCATCCCTGATTCCTTCACCTCGCTCTCCAACCTCATTTTCTTGTAAGCATCCAAACAAGGAAATCCTTAAGTCACACCCCAGGCGAGCTGTTCCCGTAAGTTCCCAAGCTGGTCGCTGTCATATATTCGCCCCACATCTGGTAATGTCCTTTCCTCAAAATGCATCACCAGCAGAAAGCTTGCACAGATGTGCAAGGCCCGAATCATAATCAACTGTTTTGGAGTGAAACATAGCCATTTATTTGTGCATGGATTTCGATCTGAAGATATCTGCAGGCTGCAGCAAATTTTCTTTGCATGGTGTTGTATTGTATGCTCTACACCAGCACCCATGTTCCTCATCTGAACGTTCCCCCCAAACTGCTCTGATCCGCGCTGCATGGATCTGAGCTACACAGGGGTGGCTGGGTCAGTGTTATGGGGCGTCAGTGTTCCCTCTAATAACCCTCCACACTGCATCTGTCCGATCTTCAATGCAGGGATCTGAGCTACACAGGGGTGGCTGGGTCAGTGCCATGGGGCGTCAACAGCCTGGGGGAGCTGCAGGCCTTGTAAGAAACTCCATCCATACCTGCCCTGACGTTCAGTGACGATAATATTTCCAACAAATCTGAGTCATTTAATCATGCTGGTTTATGGAAGATCACATGTTACAGCTCTTCATATAAGTTTAAGCAGTGCTTTCACTTGGCCTAACCCATGATTCTCGGTCGATGGAGTGAGAAATGGAACACCTCTTGTAAGATAGTGGTGCACTGGCATGGCACCTGCCCCATGCCTTGCCCTCACACCTTCCTACATTACCCACGCACCCTTACCTCACACGCGCCACCCCCCCTTCACACCACCAGGTACGGCACCTCCAGCATCCTCTGCAACGATAGTGCCACCTGCCCTGCCGCCTCTCCACCGCCCGCCAGCCCGTTGCCCCCTCCTGCTCCGCCAGCCAACTCGTCTGCGCCCAACGCCACCTGCCACGTGTGCCAGAGCTACTGCCTCGGTTGCTCCTCCTCTCCCTCTGGTGCGCCTCCTACTGCTACAGCTTTACCTCCTGCGCTGCTTCTTCCAGAATACTTATTCCATCATTCGTTTGTCCTTTCTTCCAGGAGTTCAATGGATTAATGTGTGCTGTCTTGGTGCGTGATAGAATAAGTGATCTCGGAGAAGGACCAGCCACAGCTGCTCTGCACATTCACTCCATGCTCTCCTCACCATCTTACTTCTCTCTCTCCCTCGTGTTCTCTTCTCTCTTTTCATGCTTCCTCAGCTACCACCACCGACTCCACCAGTGGTCTCTCTGCGGGAGCCATAGCAGGGATAGTTGTGGCAGCACTTCTTGCACTAGTCGCCCTCGCCCTCCTCCTCTGGTTCCTCTTCCGCCCATCTGAACCTGGTACGTCCCTTTGTAGGTACTATGCTGTGTGTTTTTTCTTCTCTCGCATCTTTTACTCTGTGTTTTCTGTCCACGCTAGTTTGGACGCAGTCTGATACAGCCTCCTCCACCACACTTCATCCAGCAAGCAGCGCACACCGGTAGCAATGCAGCTACGTTCCAAAGGCATGGTTTCTTGGAGATGAATTCGATCGGAGTCCTTTAGGTCTGATTTCTCGCTCGTTTTATTTTGTTCATACCTATTTTGTCTCTGTTTTTTCCGTAGTAATCTCTGATTTCTCCCATTTCTCTTGTCTGCTTCTTTGAACCTCAGATTCGACCCCTCTGTAACTTTATACTGCTCCGTCTCCCCCCCACACTCTTCCCACTCCCCCGCCGCTCCTTCCCACCTCTTCTGCTCCCATGGAAGCAATACTCACTACTACTACACCTCCTTCTACCTGATCCATCCCTTCCCACCACCTACCGTGCAAGCAGTACTCATTGGTGGACATCCAGCAGGCCACCAACATCTTCTCGGAGGTCCACCTTGATCGTCTTAGTTTACATCCCTACCTCCCTCTAGCCCCCTATGTACTGCATGACTTTCTACTTCATTCAATTTGCCCTATCCCTCTCCCCCAGCGTGCAAGCAGTACTCACTGGTGGTCAACCAGCAGGAAACCAACTTCTTCTCGGAGGTCAACCTAATCGGCTTACTTTCCATCCCTGCTTCACTCTAGCCCTCTATTCACCCCATGCTTCCCCCCCCCCTTGTGTTTCTCCTATTCCCTCCCAACCCAGCGTGCGAACAGTACTCACTGGTGGACATCCAACAGGCTACCAACTTCTTTTCATAGGTCAACCTAATCGATTTACTTTCCACCCCTGCTTCACTCTAGCCCCCTCTTTACGCCATGCGTTTCTCCTCTCTTGTGATTCCCCTATTTTCCCCCCACCCAGCGTGCAAACAGTACTCACTGGTGGACATCTTCTTGGAGGTCAAAACCCAGTGGGCTCAGATCCTTGACAAATGCCTTCCTCTATCCACACCCATTCCCCCCCATGCCTTATTCCCTCACAGCGTGCAAGCAGTACTCACTGGCAGAGATCCAGCAGGCCACCAACTTGTTCTCGGACGTCAACCTGATCGGCTCAGGGGGCTTCAGCGATGTGTACAAGGGTGTGGACCCGAATGACCCAGAGGCGGTGTGGGCCGTCAAGCGCGCCACCATGCTCTTGAATGATTTCAAGAAGGAGGTGAGGGGATTTGAGGGGTGGAAGGAGGGGATTTTGGAAAAATAGTAGGTGAGGGGAGGTTGGGGATGGGAGGAGGGGGAGGGTCGGGGGGAAAAGGAGAGTGAGTGGAAGTGGAGGTAAGGCACAATGGCTTCAGCGATGTGTACAAGGGCGTGGACCTGCAAGAACCAGAGGTGGTGTGGGCTGTCAAGCGCGCCACCATGCTCTCAGATGACTTTAAGAATGGGGTGAGGGGAATGGGAGAGGACAGATGTAGGGAGAGTTGTCGGATAGCAAAGGAAGGTACTATGTGGCTGCAGCGACATGTAAAAGGTCGTGCATCCGCATGGACCCGGAGGTGTTGTGGGCCGTGAATTGCATCAGTGTGCTCTCAAATGACTTCAAGGAAGAGGTACGGGGAGTCAAACGGATTGTTCTGTGTGGACCTGTGTGGACCCGTGTGGGCTGGTGGTGTGGACCAGTGCGGGCTGTTGCGGACCAGTGCGGACTGGTGTGGACCAGTGCGGACTGGTGTGGACCAGTGCGGACTGGTGTGGACCAGTGCGGACTGGTGTGGACCAGTGTGGGGCGGTGTGAACCGGTGTGGACAAGTGTGGACCATCAACTGTGCTGCCATGCTCTCCAACGACTTCACACAAGAGGTGGGGAGCGGGGAGATGAGGGGGAACAAAGGCAGGACACTGTGTCGCTGCAGTGATGTGTACAGGGCCTTGCCACTGCTGGGGTACTGCAAGGACTACAATGCCTGCTCCCATTCACGCCTCCTCCTTTCCAATTCACCTTCCTAATCTCCCTCCCATCCCCTTGTCTCCCAGGTGAAAGCGATGGCACGGCTGCAGCACCCGACCCTAGTGCCACTGCTGGGGTACTGCATCGACTACAACGAGATCAGCAGGCAGATGGAGCAGATCATCGTGTCTCAGTTCATGCCCAATGGGGACCTCTCACACAGGACCAGTCCAGGTGAGGCTCGGGCGAAGCCAGGTGATGTCAGGGCCAAGCCAAGCCCCTCGGACCTCCCAGGAGCCAAGCCCCTCTCACCTCACGAACCCCTACTTCTGCATACTCTCTTCATCTCCTCATTCCCGCACCTCCCAGGGGCCAAGCCCATCTCAAAATCTTGGCCTCCTCATCTTCCCATACCCCCGCCGCACCTCCCAGGGGCGAAGCCCATGCCGCTGCGTGTGAGGCTGGCAGTGCTGGTGGACGTGGCAGATGGGCTGAGCTTCCTCCACAGCCATCGGATCGTGCACCGCGATGTCAAGCCGGCCAACGTGCTGCTGGATGCCGACATGCGGGTGAGACCCGGATTGGTGGTAGGGGCCAAGGTGTAAACCACAAGGATAGCTCCAGTTCGCTAATCAACTTGGGTAAAAGGGTGTGTTTTTTTGGTGAGTAGGCGGCACCTGTAGCTCTTGCAGAGAATTTTCTGGGCCATCCCATTCTCCACTCTCAGCGTATGTGTATATGTAGTACATATATTTACATATATGTTTTTCCATACATACACACATCCATGCATACATCCATCCATACATCCATCCATACATACATACATACACACATACATACATACATCCATACATACATACATACATACATACATACATACATACATACATACATACATTCATACATACATGCATGCGTACATACATACATACATACATACATACATACATACATACATGCATGCATGCATGCATACATACCTACATACATACATACGTACGTACATACATACATACATACATACATACGTACGTACGTACATACATACATACATACATACTTATCTAACAGATACAAATATACAAAATGTCTGTACACATATACATTAGCTTTCAAATCGCTTGAGCTTGTTCTGATGCATACATTTTGAAATGTGCAAATATTGGAAAAACATTGTTAGTCTCTTCATTCGTTTCCTTATTTTCTATCCATAATTATATTCAAACAACCCTTTTTCTAGTACCTCGGTGTCACTTTTCTGCACCACGTTCCACTGTTTCCACTCATCCTTCCTTCCTCCCAATACACCACCCACCCATGCAGGCTAAGGTGGCAGATTTCGGGTTCATGAGGATGATAGAGGCAAGTCAAGTGACCCAGTTCCTCCTCCCCCTCCCCACGCTACGCAACATAACATCGATTTCCCTCTTCTTCCCTCCCATTACACCACCCAACCATGCAGGCGAAGGTGGCGGATTTTGGGTTCATGAGGATGATGGAGGCGAGCAAAGTGAATCCCACCAGGGTGTTGGGCACACCGGGCTATGTGGACCCCGAATACCACGACACTCACCTCGCCACCACCGCCACTGACGTTTACAGGTGAGCGGTGCTGGCTGGTGGTGGTGCTTGGAGTTGTAACAGGTCGGTGTGGGGTGATGGGCACACCGGGCTATGTGGACCTCGAATACCACGACACCCGCCTCGCCACCACCGCCACTGATATCTACAAGTCGGCAGTCCTAGCCACTGGTCTCTTGATGCAGCAGCCGTGGGTGCTGCCAGTTCATTTAGCACATCTGAAGCTGCAGCAGCTGCTGGAAACTATATTTCAGGCCTTCTCAGCTACAGCCTTATCTGGACCTTCCATTTCCAGAAGATTTTATTCCCAGCAGACCGGATCAGCTGCTTCTGAAACCTCTATTTCTTCCGGTGCAAGCTAATCTGGTCCGTCCACTCCCCTCTATCCTTTGGTTTGGAATGCTGGTGCTTGAGCTTCTGGCAGGCAGGGAGCTTATCTTGCTCATCTAGAAGCTGATCCGTTGTATCCACTCCTCTCTCCTCAACCACACTAACCACCCTCTCCCCTCACTTCAGTTTTGGAGTGCTGGTGATTGAGCTGCTGACAGGAAGGGAGCCCATACTCTCCGTCGATGGCTCTCAGTCGCACATCTGCGAATGGGTGAGTCACTTTCCTCATCTTCGTAGCTACATCTGTTGTGTGGGAAACGTTTTCCTGTCTCTGAATCCCTGACACTAATGGCTCCAATGCTACTACTCCTTCATACCGTCCTTTCAAGCGCTTCATTCATTTTCTTCTTACTTCTTATCCCTCCTCTCACCCACCATTTCTCCTCCTAATCATTCTCCCTCATCTTATCCTTCTTCCCACGTACAGGCAACAGCAGAGCTCTCCAGCAGTGATGTCAGCTCCATCATAGACCCGCGCATGGCCTCCCCTGCTGTGTCTACCGGTGATGTCACCATGGTGCATTCTGACGTCATGCAGAGCCTTGCATCCCTGGCGTTGGCATGCACTGCCATGCCCGCTGCCTCGCGCCCCTCCATGGTCAAAGTGCTCTCACAGCTGAAGCATCTCTACGAGGAGGTGGTAAGGCGGGAGAGGGATAACGGACTGGGGCAAGGGAGTGGGTTTGTAGGAGTTGATATGGGTGTGGGAGGAGTGGGAGGGATGGTGAAGGAGAAGTGGGAGAGCCCAGCAGATGGGGCGTCAGCGGTGAGTGTGACGCCAGTGACAGCTGTGAGGGATACAATAGGCAGCTTGGAAGGGAATGAGAGCTCCAGTGCTGGAGAGGGGACGAGTGGAGAGGCGAGTGGGAGTGCGGCTGGTTATCGCAACTGAGGGGAGCATATTGGAGTTTCTAAGATGATGTAAATAGCTGTTGTGTTGTTGTTGTTGTTGTTCTTTTTTCATATGTTCTTCTTTAAGAAGTGTGTATCGGGTTTCGGTTATCCATGGGAAGACATTATACTTCACTAAGGCATTTGAGGGATCTTGCTGCTTGTACGCTTAGCTTTTTTGTGGGTTACAAGAGCTTAGGTTGGGACATAGGGTTTAAATCAGGAAATAAAATGATGATGGAAAAAAACTGTCATTATTAGTAGAGCTAATCTTTGTTTACAACACGTCATATAAAATCAGCCTAATACCACTGTTCACTATTTGAAAATTTGCATGCAACACATCTACAAGAATTTCCACCCGGGGATAGAAACTCCCACGTCCATAATACATGTAATCGAAACTTTCGCACGGGAATAAAATTTGGATAAAATTCATTTGGATAAGTTAGAGACTTGGTGTAAGGATTTACAAATCGTTAATGCAGCACTCGTTCGTGAGTCCATCCTGAGGGTCACACGACCCTCAAGTTCGATCTACATTTCCGCAACCAAACCACTCCCGTATCGCCTCCGCGCCAATTTCAACCTCCCCACCTAGCTAGGTTTTCCCCTATTTAGTCTTGCCATTTTCCTTGTATCATCATTCAGTAATTCAATAGTATTCAACATTCTCGATATTCGTTACTCTGCGCACTCTGCAAGTTCATTCATAACACTTGGCTTGCTGAAAATTGTGTAATAGCAGAAAGTATTTGAATTCACTCATATGTGAAAACATGAAATCATCAATAAGACATACACAAGTATTCATAAGGCTAGAGAAGTACCTATTGCATGATGTTTATAGCTATAGGGTGATATTCGTCACTCTAACAGATACTTCCTATTATAGCATCACACAAATATTCATGAGACTATTTGCGCCTCCAACGGATATATTACCAAATAGGTGCTAGCTACGGCAACCTCCCGATAATACTTCTACAATATCGAACACTGAAATGTAACACAACTTATACACTTGAATACATAGGAGAATGTGAATAAATAAGAAGGCACAGGTAATAATTAGAACCCCCTAGTGCTGACAGGCATATACTCCTTATTGTTTAAGATTTTATTTACTGTTTTTTAGGAGCGAATTTCCAGCAATGGTGCACAGCGTGGAACCGTGTTGTGTTTTATCCGACGCTGCAGATTGGAAGGGGAGAGGGAGGGGCAAGGATGCAAGGATGTGTTTTGAGATGGGGAGACGCAGTATACATGGAGGGATGGGGACCTGGAAAGAGGCCTGAAATACATGAAGTGCAAGGCGAAGGGTCCTGGTACATAATTGTTTTTGTTTCTGACTTGAATCGGTAGCTTCACTTTGTTGAGAGCGTGTAAGATGAAGCTTGAAGCGAAACTACCAGGAAACACAGGACCACGCAGCGAGAGAATCGTTAAAATTTTCGAAATTCTCATGAAACTAATTGGGGCATGGGGAAACACAGAACCGTACACCGGGAGTTACAAGAGAAGGGTGCGAGAATAGAAAGGCGCTCACAGGTGTTGCAGCTGCAGAAGCGTGCCCAGCCCTCGAGGGACAGTGCCCTGGAATGCATTGGCACTGAGATCGCTGTGGAGGGGGTAATGGGTGGGATTGAGGAAATCGGGTGGACAGAAGGAAAGGGTATGGGGGGCTAGAGGAAGCTTGTTGAAAGGGCCAATATTCCAAATCAAGGGGGCGAGTGAGTCATTTGGAATCAAGGTGCCCAATCCAATAGGGGCCTTGCTGAAGGTGCGAACAGGCAGCACCACTACGAGATGGCATGGGTGGTGGGAATCTGCTGGGGCGCTGCAGTGGTATTACGGATGCATGTGTATGGTATGTATGTGGCACTACCCGATGGCATGGTTGCATTGCAGCATTACCCGATGGTATGGTTGCATTGCAGCATTACCCGATGGCATGGTTGCATTGCAGCATTACCCGATGGCAGGGTTGCATTGCAGCATTACCCGATGGTATGGTTGCATTGCAGCATAACCCGATGGTATGGTTGCATTGCAGCATTACCCGATGGCATGGTTGCATTGCAGCATTACCCGATGGCGTGGTTGCATTGCAGCATTACCCGATGGTATGGTTGCATTGCAGCATTACCCGATGGCATGGTTGCATTGCAGCATTACCCGATGGCATGGTTGCATTGCAGCATTACCCGATGGCATGGTTGCATTGCAGCATTACCCGATGGCATGGTTGCATTGCATCACTACTCGATGGCATGGGTGCATCACCACCTAATGGCATGGTTGGTTTGCATCTGTAGAGATCTAATGGGTGGCGTTACATTACCTCACATACAGATGGCATGTGGTATGGAGCTAGCTAGCAGATGAGATGCGTGTGGCGCTAGTAGATGGCATCGATGGTATGCATCAGGAGAGTGGCAATAACCAATGGCACGGGTGGTGTGCATGACGTACAGGTGGGTGAGTTGGCTGAATCTGCGCAGGCGAGGCATCGAGCCATTCAGGCTGTTGGAGCTCATGTCGCTGCACTTGCAAAAACAATGAATGTAGAACAGGTGATGGTTAGTAAGATTTGTTTAATTAAAGCAAGAAAACAAAGAACCAGCAAAACTTTTAATGCGTACACAAGGCCAAAGCTGAGTATATTCTCACAATCTGTGAACAGTGTGCATAGTGACCAGTGAGGCCAGTGAGACTCACAGGGTGTGCAGGCGCGTGAGATAGCTCAGCATGCCGGGAACAGTGCCGGTGAGAGAGCAGCTCGAGAGATTGCTGTGCGCAGGATGGGGGAAGGGAGATAATTAGAGAGGGGGAAAGAGATTTAAGGCCTCTCATCTCACTGCCTTTGTGTCTCGTAGGGAAGAGGGTTCCAGAGAGAGCAAAAAATGGGGGACGGGGTGGTGAGGGGGGGGGTAGGTGTGAGAATGCCTGGATTACCGAATTGAACCGGAGAAGGCAGTGCTGTGCGACTCAAGGCAGCCCTGTGCGACTCAAGGCAGCCCTGTGCGACTCAAGGCAGCCCTGTGCGGCTCGAGGCAGCCCTGTGTGGCTCAAGGCAGCCGTGTGCGATGCAGCGTGTCACTTTCCTACTGTTCAGTCCACCATCTGAGTGCTGCAGTGGTCCAGTTCGATTGATTTTCTCGTAGTTAAAACGTTCAAACGTTTTTGCCGCGTGCTGCAGCAGTCCACTTACAGGCGTGTGAGTCGAGTGAGAAACCCAAGAGCTGAAGGAATGGAGGATGAGAAGATGTTGTCAGAAACATCCCTGTGGGGAAGAGGGTGAGAAACAGCTGATTATTTGAGAGAAAATGGGTCGGTTGGAAGAATTGGAAGCAGAACCAGACGATTCCAATTTTGATGAATGATTGAAGAAGAAAGGTAGAGAGGGGGGTGAACAGAGCCCAAGTGAAACAGAGTGCAGGGTATAGAGTGGGAAGGAATGCAGCTTCCTTTAAGAAGCTTACATGTCCTTGAGGTGTGGAAGCATGCCAAGTCTCCTATGCACGATGCCTGTCAAGGTGTTATTTTGCAGCCGTAGTTAGCAATTCCCTTTCAGAATCTCTTTTTCTAGTGGTGGCTAAAAGCATACCTGGTTCATTAACAAGCTTACATGTCCTTGAGGCGCGGAAGCATGCCAAGGCACGATACCAGTCAAGGTGTTGTTGTGGAGGTCGCTGGAGATGACACAAGAGATGACAGAAGAACGTTGGCAATGCGGATGGAAGGGAGTTAAGGATCCTTCGATTGACCTTAGCAATAATACGGATGATAGGATCTTTGGTTCACTGTAACACCGCAGGTGAGAAAAACACAGCAAGATGAGATGGAAATTTTAGTCCCACAGGTCTCTTACGGGTATTGGAGTAGCTTTGTATCGGTCTAGCTTGTTGCAGCTGCTAGGGGCGTGGTTCAAGCAGCTCAAATGATGAAGCAAGATGTATTGAGACGCTTACAGGACAGGTGAGTGAGTGATCCGGACCCAGAAAGGCATGGACAAGTTTGGAACCTATATAGAGGTCGCTTACAGGACGGTGAGTGATTTGAGTCGACCCAGGGAGGCAGGGATGGACGAATTGAGGGGGATGGACGAATTGAGGTGGTTGGACGAGAGGTTCCTGTAGGAGAAAGGAGCACCAGGCAGTGGGAAAGCAGAGGAGTTTGGATAATAGGCATAGTGGAGCAGATTTTTCAGGTCAGCAGCCAATGCAGAACAGGGCAGATGGAAGACAGCGAAGACTGGTCAACAGCCAAAGCCAATCATATTGTTTCGGCCGAAGGCCCACAAAGAAGATTGGTGTTACCCAACGAGCGGGGTCACACTTGGAAGTCAACGTTAGTGAGTCATTGCAATGACATATGAAACGGTGCATGCGCGAAGCCACATGCATTGGATATGTGGCTGGGATAAGGAAAAGTTTCTGTCTTACAGGGAATGCAGGTTGATTTCTATTTCGGCTCATAAAAAGGAGGAGGTGAGCCTCACAGGAAGCGCAGGTTGGGAAGCACGCCGAGGCTGGCTGGAATGGATCCCTGCAACGAGCTGTTGCTCAGGCCTCTGGGAAAGCACGAATGGAGGAAATTACGAATGGAGGGTGCGTGGAAGTTGGCAGGCATGGCATGCAGGGAGTGCGCAAGGAGGGGCAGATCATGAAGGGAGGGCACAGGGGAGGGGAGAGATGGACTCTAGAGTCGACTGAAGAAATGCAGCAAGTGGTTGCTCATGAAACAGGCCTAGGCACATAGGAAGGAAGAGACAGGAGGGAGGGCGTGGGGGAAGGGTGCGAAGGCGTGTTGTGAGGGTGCAAGGGCATGAGAGGAGGGTGAAAGGGCGTTTGGAGAAGCCTCTGGATGTGGTTGTTGAGAATGGAGTGACGAAATTCTACTGTAACATGGGCCTTCACAGCAAGACTGTGACTGGTACTCTCCCTCTCTTCACTTACTTTGTCTCTCAAGCTTCCAACTCTCGGTTCTCTGAACTCC